TATATATATATATATATATATGCGCACACACACATATACATATATGTATATACATATGCGCGCGCACGCACGCACACACTTTGCTGGAAATAACCTATACGATTCCAGGCAAGCTTATAAAACTTCAAAATAAGCAGGATCCTTATATTTTAAGACTGTTGTTACTTCTACTTAACACAGCCCTTACCAATCAAACTACGAAGCACCATCGCTTTCAGAGAAGGTTGGGAGCAAATGTCATGCGTTTCAGATGACAGACCACCTATAATATCGGCAAAACTACTCTATAGACTGCTATGCGGTGCAATTGCCAGGAAACATGATAGTTGTACATAGTTGCACTCGAGTTACATAAAATAAAAATAAATGAGATTTTGAAAGGGTCTTTTCTGCTATTTCTAAAATCTTCAAATGGAGCTGGTTTAAAGGGAGTCTCTCCTCCCATTTTCGAACCATCAGTGAGGAAAGCTGTGTGAAACCCCAGCTAAGAAGGTGTTCTAAAGCTTCCACTTTCCATTGTGATAATGCAGATACAATCTAGATTTTAAGACATCGGACACAATGTGGACATAATCCACATGGTGGAAAAGGTTCTTTGCTAACAGGACACTCTGGAAAGGTGCTGGGCATGGGTGCTCAGCATCCTATAAGAGTAAAAATAGACAAAAATAAATTGTTAGAGTTGAGTTTGTAGCAGGGCACATGGCTTACCAACAGCTCGATGCAAACACACACTCAGAAACTGGTATATCATGTTTTAAAATGACCGTGAAACACACTGCCTTACCTAATCACCTTCATCATCCCTGGGAAATGGTGGTGACATCAGAGAATACCTCCTGGCATGTCACAGTCATTAGGGGCCAGGCAGCAAGACCTATGAGGAAAACACACACACTAAAAAGTAAATTTAAAATGAGTTCCCAGATGCCAGACTCTCTTAGGGATTTGCTGCGATGGAGGGACTGGCTTGCAGCTCGTATTTGCAGACTCAGAGCGCCAGATTTTTAGCAGGCAAAATTATTTGGGTCAATGCAATATCTTGTATCGGTAATAAAATAAAAAATATCTTTGATTAGCTAATAAAAGATCACACTGACCCAAAGAACCAAGTCTGCCCAGGTCCTTAGACTAACACAGCTATAACCAACACCCCTGAAACATGGAAGATTTTTAGCAGGTATTTCAGGACCTAAACGCATATGTAGGCACCTGGTGGGTATCAGTCACCTAGGCACCTAAAAGGATCTGGTCCTCACAGGCAGGGCTGACTGTTTGCTGTGCACATAGACAGTACCTAGATTAATGGGGCTGTAGTTGTGGTCTCTATAGACAGGCATGTTTAAAAAAAAACAAAACAGAAATAAGATGCCCAAGTCTCACTGATCATTTCTAGTGGGAGACTGGTCTCTAAATACCTTTCAAAAGAGAGCAGGAAGTAACCTGCCCAGGAAAGAAGTTAATCAACACAAAAACCCTCAGACGCTGCAAAGAAGGCTTGCAGTCCATTGGTCTGGACTGGATATTGGTTCAGTGGCTAGATCCTTTCCCCTACCCTTGCATTTTTTCCACTGGCTTGCTGAATATCCTGGGATCCAGCATGTTCCCATTTCATAGGTAAGGAAACTGAGGCACAGGACTAAGGCTCATGATAGTGCTCTCCTTTGTAATGTTTCAGGGTTTCATTGGGTAGCTGTGCTGGGTTAAGACAAATAGAAATGCAAAAATCTAGATCTCTGGGTTCAAAGATGATACCCTATATACATACATACATACATACATATTATTGCCATTTCTCAGTTGGTCTAATAAAAAGGTCTCATTGCTGAACCCAGAGGTCTAGGTTTTTGCACCTCTCCTCTGTAAAGCACTTGGAGACCTACTGATAAAAGCCCCACAGACCAGCCAGGTTTTATCCTCTCTTTCTCCCAGGCTCAGTACTCTCCTCACCTTAGCTGTAGCTGGCGTTGCAGCCATTAGCTACAGCCTCAAGCGGTCACGCTTTTACATCTTTATGAACTGCTAACTCCTGCTGCATACTGGAGAAGGCCACTCACACAGAGTTGTGAAGACTCAGCTGTAACCCCCTAGTGTTACCGACACTGGTAGTAGCCAGCCGTCCCCCTTCCTTTTAAAGCCCCACCTGCTGGAGTCAGGTGAACACACTCCTCACCAGTCCTGTTTTTTTAAAGGATGCTGCATGGTCATCCATTGTGGGGGGAGAATATAATGATTATACCTAGAGGGGTTTGTTGGAAGGCAACTTTGTTGTATTTTCAAAATGAATTCATCTTTTTCAAACTCCTATCCCCAGTTATCCTGAATAACATCACACCACGTATAGAAATGCACAAAACAGATGTTTGCTATTATTCTTTATACTGATAACTCTCTAGGGGAAGGATGCTCTTTTTTTGTGTGGTTAATACGGGCAACAAGTACATAAAACAATAGCACTGAAGCTCAGACTGGGGGCCCGGGGCATGCCCACACTACAAACATCCAATATATCTGTATTATAATGGGTCATTTATATAATTAATACAGTAGCAACAAAGCACTTGATTATACACATCCAAGATATTATTATCACTCCTTTCTGGTACTTCCCTGCCTTGCACTCAACAGCTGCACTAGCCGTGATTCTCACTCGGGGTGCTGTAGCATCCTGGGGTACCTGGAGATCCTTTTAAGGGTGCCATACAATGTTACCACCATTAGGTGGGCAAACACAATTCATAAGATAAACCCAGAGATTTCAAATAGGGATCCACAGTATTAAAAACATGCTGACCTGCTTTGGGCTTCCTGAGTTCTTTGAAAAGAAAAACAGTAAAAAACTAGTGAAAACCATAAACTGGCATTTTTCAAGGGGTGCCTTGAGTCTAATGAGGGATGTGTTGAATCCAAAATAGCTGAGCATGGTGCTATACAATTTAGGGCCTGCTGTATATTTGGGGGAAATGCATACACTCCTATCAGAAATCAGCTTTTCACTGCAGCAGCTACTGGTGCTAGAGAAAGAATGACCCTGATCTGCAGGGTTACCACTGACAAGTCTGCATCTGATCAGTGAAAATCCTGGTCCCAGACCTGCAGCTGGATTTTCTACACAAAACCCAGTGTTGGATCAGGGTTTCTGTGGAAAGGAATTAGAGTAAATTTGCAAATTCTCCCTTAAAGTTTTCAGTCCATAGTCAAGCATTGACTATGCTTAACTGTGGACTGAGATTTCTTCCTCTCAATCCCTACATCAGAAACAAAATATGTAGTATGCAATGTCACTGGAGGATGGGGGTGGGTATCTAAGCATGAGAAAATACCAAATCTATGATCTTAGACCAGCATCTCCTATCTTTGCTGTGCTTTACAGAAATATCCTTTTAAAACACCCCTGTTAGCAGATAGCTAGCTCTCCAGGCTTGCAGAAAACTGTCTCCAGCCAAACATTTGGAACAATCAGTGGTGTGAATGATGCCACTCACCCTATTCATTACAATGAAATGTGTCTCTATCACCGCCTATCACCTTAATGAAGGGTAAATTTCAAAATCTAATGGGGAGCTAAAAGTGCTAATGCCATTAAGAGGCATGACCAGCGCCCACACCTAGGTGAGGGCAAAGGACTTGTTAAAAACAAGGGGAGAGATGCTCTGCAGCTGTGAATTGAATCAGTGACCTGTTCAGGTTTTTACCAGCTGAGGGTATTAACACTAATAAAGCCATAGCATTTAGACAGTGGTTTTCATCCATCATCCATCAACCGGAAAGCACGTGGCTAAAGAGATTGGTATCGTGAACACCCATTTTACAGATGGGAAAAGCAAGGCACACAGCGAGGGAAATGATTTGAAGGGCTCATTAGGCATCCAAAGCCTGATAGTCTGTATCCTCCAGGCCACACTGATCCATGGCTGGATTTGTTTCTGTGGCACTCCCCTGTATTTCCCCTGGCTCTTTCTGCTGCTTTAGCTTTAAATGTTTTGTGAGTCACAAGAAGGTGGTCTTTTCAGCTTTTCAGGCCCTTGCCTGTTCCAAATAAATGCTGGACCTTGCATTTGCTAGTGGTTTGCCCTGCCTAGCTGAAATGCTCTGCAGAGATTTTTTTTTCATTTGAATCTAGAGCCTACAGACAGATCAGTGTGGATAGGCACCAGCAGTTTTTCTCCTATTTAGTACAAATGCAAAGGAAGGCTGGCTATTTCAAGCACTCCCTCTCTCCTATTCCTGTGTTGCCTTTCAAATAGGGTTGTTATTTTCCTTCTCCCTGATGGGACAGCTAGAGCCATGGCAGAGATGGACCTTTTTTTTGCCTGTGCAGGCTCCTTCTGAGCTCATATTCCCCTCCAACCCTGGCTCTGGCATGATCGCTCATGTACCATTGGCATGGATGGTTTGGGGTCTCTGCAGAAGCTTCACAGAGATGGTGCAAGTCAAAAGGCTTTGCCAGAAGCTGATGGGAATGAGGCAAAGTAAGTTATTCATACCTGATAGACATCTACAGCAACCTTTTCATGCCCCTTCTGAACCTGCCCCCTTCTTGCCAACCCTGGGGAGAGGAAGATCTGCAAATGTCCCTCTTCCAGGCAGAGGGTGGAGGGTGCATTTGTGGAGATGCTGCCCTCATTCTCAGGGCAAAAGGAAAGCAGAGGTGCCACTTCCTCCTCCACCCCACCCGCCTCTGAGGGCTTCCCCTCCAGCGCTGTGGCAGGTGTCATTCCCAGAGGCTGGGTGCTCCACCCATCCAGGGCTTGCTCAGATCACCCCAGATAACAAGAGTCCTGAGACTGGGGAAACAGGAAGAAGGCACGATCCTTTTACAGCCCAGTAACTGGTTTACAGCAACTCTAACCTGTGGGTCAGAAGCCCCAAATGCAACCCAAGTTGGCCGTGAGCAAAGCAGGTCTGGGGCGGCTGATGTGACAAGAGGGCGGTTGATGGTTTTGGTCCAGTTTATAGTCCAGACCCGTATCCCGCTTCACGCCATGTCAAGGAGAGGTGAGATTTTAGCCAAACACATCAGTCCTTCCCCTCTTGCGGATATAGTTGTGGGCCCTTGCACCGTACTCCCCGCTCCATGATGGAGCCTGATGTAGGGCCGGTCTGGCTGGATAATGTTGTGCTCTGGCTCACTGCAGCCTCCCTTGCAGCTAGGCAGGTTGGAATAGCCTGGGTGTATCACACCTCCAGCTACTACCCAATGACACAACAAACCAGCTGTGGGGAACTGTACATTTAAGTGGCCCTTGCAAACGGCACTTTCCTGAGCACCCCAGTGACCAGGCAGAAGGGAGCAGACCTGGCCTCTTTTGCTCCCAGTGATTTCTGAACAACACCCTGTTGTTAATTCCCAAATCAGGATTGGGTACAAAGCCTCACCCCCTGTCTGATAGCCAAGCTCATTAGGCACCTGCAAGGCTTTTAAGTTTGATTTATTGCCTGGCATCACCCAGCGTCATTGCATATAGTTAATATTTGTAACGTTAATTGCAATTATTCATCACTTCAACTGTCACAGCAGAAGGATTCACGTGCCTTGTTCATTATGTGGAGGTATGCCCACAGTATAATATTTAAAACACAGAAGAGTCATTGCTCAACATCGGCGGAAGAAAGAGGTAAAAGAAGCGACATGAGGAGGGTATGGGTATGAGCAGATGGGTTTTATTTAGCCACGGCCTCCCTAACACTTCAAAAGACAGGGTGCGTGTCAGTGGGAGGCAGTACACTGCCCACACCACATGTGCCAAGCCCAAAATGGGTGTGATGGACTCGGGGACAAAGTGTGCCTGGAGCGATGCTGTGGTCACATCACAACTGTGCGTGCAAGAGGCTTTATTCTCTAGCAAGGTCTGGAGGTGGCATAGACCTGGTCTGTGCTGTCGGGGAACTTGGCAATGTTTTGGCTATAAAAGGCTCTGGGGGCACAGGGACCCAGATCCTCCCAGGACTGGGGGGTCCCTAACTCCCATGGACATCGATGCCATGCAGGAGCTGGGTCAGAGAGGCCCAGGGTGATATTTTTCAAGGTGTTTCCAACAATGCAGACATCTCATGGCATGTAGGGGTTTCAAAGGCCTCTGAGTGCCAGGCCCCCATGGCCTCCAGCTCCCAGGGCATTGCAGAGTGCCTGAGAACAGGAGGGAGGGATACTGTCCCACCCCAGCCTTCTTGTGCGACGTCTGGTGAGTCACTCCGGGCCACATCTGGACAGGACTTAAGGTGTAGCTAGGGACCAGGTGGGGTTTGGCACCTCTGTAAAGTCAAGCTCCTTAACCAGCGGGCGTTGATGATCGAGGCCCACAACTGATGCATCCAAAAGCATGGTATTAAATGTATTTCCTGCAACCTCTGGGTAGGGAGAGCCTGATCTTTGCATGCTCATTCTGGCTTCAGAAACTCTGTGCCTCTCACAACTTCCCAGCACGGTAATGGCTATCCCCGTGATCCTTACCCATTTGGAGCACAAGCACTTCTTGGGCTCTGATGCGGACGCCATCCTCTTCCTGCTGCAGCTCCAAAACTCTGAAATCTCCATTCTGCTTTTACCAGTCCACATGTCCAGGCTCCTTTATGGTGCAAGCTGCATGCTGTGTCTGCAGCTCTGAGCTGATGGAGCTGCAGACACTCAGGAATCTAACGAAGAAGTGTCAGAGGTCAGATTTTACTGATTTTTTTTTCCAATGTATTATTCCTTGTAGCTGATGCTTTTTGCAAGCCCCCACCATAGCTGAACTGCCATGCTGCAGCTGGGATGAATTAGAAACAGCCCTTCTTGCATCTCTGCTGGGGGAGTGCAGTAGCTGAGCCCTGAGGTCCCATCCTAGCCTCTAGTTCTAGTGAGGTCATGCACACGGGTGCAATAAACCTTGTGTATGTCAGCCCTGGGTTACAGGGACAGTCACCTCACGTTGGGCAAGAGCATCCCGTGGTCTGGGCAGGTGGAGGCTGAGTGCTACTGATGAACTTTGCCCCCCACTGAAGGCAATAGCAAGTCTCCCCTTGTGTTTAGTGGAGACAAAACTGCAGAAAACCCCATGCTAATCATTGCAGGACAGTGCACATCTTTTCCCTGCACATTTTGGACACAGAGGTAGTGATCCAGGGTTTGAAGGGAGCTGGT